AAAATCCTAGTTTAGGTTGTTGTTTTTTAATTATATATTTTCATATATTTTATTATTATCTTTTTCAATTTATTTGCTGGTATTTTTTTTAAGGTTTAGTGGGCTTTCGCGATTACCAAAACTTAAAAAAGATAGCAGCAAATAAATTGAAATAAAATAATAAAATATAGTAAACAAGCCATGCATGGCACAGTCCCTGTTAGTTATCGAATTTAAGATAAATAGTTTTGTTTATAGTAATATAGCTGGAATATAACCATGTCAGGAATATGATCGTCAAACAAGTAGTTGTCCACATGAGAGATATTGCTCTGGAACAGCATTCAAAATCAGCCATTTTGAATACATGTATAATGAATATATAAAATTTGAACAAAATAAGGTCAAAACATGTCAGAGATATGGCTCTAGAAGCCCATTCATTAAAACAAAATGGTCGCCAGTCAACCATTTTGAATCCCATTTGAAAAATAAAATGATGTGCATTTTGAACTTGTAATGTCTAATGTATGTTATAAGTTTGAATGAAATCCATCGAGAAATGCTTGATATTTGATGATTTTTTAGCACAAAAATGGCCACTATTTGGCCACTTCGAAAAGGATCGTCAAACTCTTATATCCGTATATCTATGAAATGATGTATAATGAATATTCAAAATTTTAACATAATCACTCAAAGCAAGTCAGAGATATGGCACTAGAACCACATTCATTAAAACAAAATGGCTGCCAGTCTACCATTTTGAATCTCATCTGAGGAAAAAAAAAATGTCAAATGTATATACCATGTTTGAACAAAATTCATCTATAAACAGCCGAGAAATGCTTAATTTTGATGATTTTTCAGTACAAAAATGGCTGCCATTCGGCCATCTTGAATCAAATTGTAAAACAAATTGATGTGCATATGTATAATGTCATGTATGATGTATGTGTGAAATTTGATTGTGATTGGTCCAGGCATTTCTAAGATACATGTCCGGACGCATGCACGCACGCATGCACGCACGGACGCACAGAGGTCAAAACATAAGTCCCAGTTTTCGGACTGCGTTCGAACGGTGACTAAAAATATGAATATTATATTAACAAACAAAAAATGAAAAAAAAGCCCAATCTTATTTTAATGAGAATGGTATATTTCATGCAATGCCATTCATGTTCATCAATGAAATGACCATTAAGGTCTAAACAGTTTTTTTTCCCATCTCAGGGAAAATTTTTTTTTGTGTGTCACCAGTGACCCTTTGAACATAAAAATCAGCTTTGTCACTTTTCACAAAATAAACTCACATTATAATTGTTTTCAACTTTTTTTTATAAATTTTTGTCAAAGCATGAGCACTGATACAGAAACACGGTTTTTACCATAGCTCCGCAAAGTTGCCAAAATACGTTAATTTTATAAGTGGCCGCTAGAAAGCGGCCACAATCCAGAGAATTGTAAAGACACGGTGACTGCAATCGGTGTAAATGTGGATGTATGGAGGGCCAAGATTGGCGTTTTTATCCATCCTAGATCTTGGAAGTCCGTAAGTTTGTCTCAGTATTCGCCATATTCAGTGTGGTCACCACTAAATGGATTTGCATACAGATGTCTATGCTGTTTTATTGTTCTTGGTTATGTAACACTAAGTACCTATGCTATTACTACTGGGATTGAATATATGCATACTTGGTTAGACACAAATGGTATGTTAACTAATTCATTGAGTCATTTGCTCATGCCAACCAGTGCTATATCCAGTATGAAGGTGGCGGCAAAGCCTTGGCGGTGATGATGCATGTGGAATCTTTCCGGTGTACAACGATGGTGTATTAATTTTACCAGCTACGTTAGCAGATTGCTCCAACAAGCGGGTGATGTAGAATTGAGTTCAGGACCCGATACCAGGCAATCAACATTAACCAAGTCAGGGACTCTTCAACCGGCAACCGCATCCAGTGAACAACTTGAAGATGAAGCCATAAATGTCAATTTTGCGGAACATTCAAAGCAATATGAAAGACATAAAAATGAATATGAAACTAGTAGATAAGAAGATCGAATCCAAGCTGAATAGAGTAGAAGGGACAATAGATGAGGTGAGGCAAACTGCTGAGGGAAACAAAGAACGTTTGGATAAGTTAGAACACTTGGAAGACGTTATCGGTGGACTGAAAAATTATATAAATGTCCTAACAACACAAGTCAGAACTGAAAGACCGTCAAAAACGGAATAACATTGTAATTCGCGGCATAGATGAAGATCCAAACAAATCGTGAGATTAATCAGAGGATAAAGTGAAGAAATTGTTAGCCGAGAAATTGAGTATCACAGGCGTTGATTTTGAAAGAGTTCACAAGGTTGAAACCGGAGTTCGGGGTAGGAGACCACTTAATGCAATGTGTGCTCGATTCAAAGATAAGCAGAACATTCTATCAACGAAAAAAAACTGCATGGTACCAACATTTTTATTGATGAGCATTTCTCACAAGAAACCAGGTATATCAGAAATAATATATTTGCAAAAAGAAAAGAACTAATTGCAAACAATATACATTATGTACGTGCCTTTGTTAACTACAAAAAGCTTGTCAGCTATGAAGGTGGGAAAAAGTGTGTATACACTTATAGCAATGCCAGTGACTCTGTTGTTAGACCAGCTTACACGAGTCAAATTAATGAAGGTATGGGTAAAGTAATTAGATGCATGTCTTGGAATCTACATGGATTATTGAGCAATTTACATGATGCAAGTTTTATCTAGTACTGTATGCAATTCAATATATTTTGTTTGGTTGAAACTTGGCTTACACATGGGAATGTTGATGCTCACGAGTATTTCCCTGATTTTAAATTGATCTCATGCATCAGGGAAAAAAATCGGATGTCAAGGGGCAGGCCGAGTGGGGGTGTTACTGTTGGTATTTCTAAAGATATGATCACTGGTATCAAGGTGTTAGATACAGGGATGAAAAATGCTATATTTCTATTATTAAAGTCACACTAAAAAATATCGTTGGAAGGAGTGTATAAAGCAGAATTTTGTAGTTAAGTTGAATTCAGACGAAGTGGTGGGGCTACTAGATAAAGCACACGATTATGTAGGTGAAAATATCGACAGGATAATTGATTGTATTAAGGGTGCATTACAACTAGATGGGGAAGGGATAGAATGCTGCGATGCCACTAAAAATACGAACAACCAGCCACCATGGTTCAATAAATCCTGCCAAGATGCCAAACATGAAATGTTCAGATGTCTTACATTGTTCAGGAAAATGCACACTGACGAACTGAACTGAACAAACTTGCTCGAAATACTATCAAAAGCATTTGTAATTTTAATAAGAAAACTCACGCAGACTTGCTGTTAAGTCAAGAACAAAAATGTTGAGATAATGTGGTTGGTCGGGATGGTATGTGGTCCGTGATTGGACGGTATTGTAGGGGTACCTCAAGTAGTCTACAAATTTCGTCTAATTGTTGGTTGGAACATTTTGCACAGATAAATAAGCCACAAGTTTTAAACAACGGGGACGTCACTTTTGATTCATTGCTTGAGGAGAATTATGCTGAAAATGGGAACTTTGGAGATTTGAATGATTGGATCACTAATAATGAAATTATCAAAGTGAAATCACTGAAATATGGGAAAGCTACTGGTCCAGACGGAATTCCTGCCAAATTTTTTAAATTTTCTCTAACTCATGAGTGAATTATTTAACAATGTTTTTGAAACGGGGAAATTTCCTGAAGGGTGGTCACGTAGGTTAATTATTCCACAAAAAGGT